AAAGGCAACAACGACTAATGGTGATCACGAACGGTTTGAATCGTAAGCTCCACGAAAACACGTATCGGCCTCTACTTAGTTCACTCGATTGAGAGCAAAATTTTCTTTTCCCAAAAACAATTTTGAGAAAAAACTGCTAATAAAGAACCGGCTGCTAGACCTTACCTCACTTTAAATATATCAGTTACCCTAACCTCTTAGGGATTTTAAGTTATTTCGAATTAATAAAAATCTCATTTAATTAATTCAAATTAAATATCCATTAAAGACTTATAATCAAAATTATAATCTTTAACGTTTATTTAAACTCTTATTTAATTATTCCAAATTAAATATCGATTAAAAGAGTTATAATCAAAATTACATTCTTTAATTTTTACTTATTATATTCGGGATAATAAAAATCATATGTATATCAAATATACATATATTAACTCCAGATATATATTTTAGTAACATACAACAAATTGTACATCTTTACTATTTCAATCCTAGGGTGTGACCCTGTAGGTTCTTGTAACGTTAGTAGTAATTATTAGAACAATTATAATATTACATACAATGAGTGACATCTAGCAATATATCATTGTCACCTAACTTACAAGAAATTATGATTCAACATATCATCTTCATGATTAACTCTTTTATGTATTACATCCTTTTGTCCTTTATATCTAGAATAGGCATAAGTCTTGGAATAGTCACACTTGTATATCCCATCTATTGTTTCTTGATATCTAGAGTTGACTATAATTAATGAATAATTTGTGATATCTCATATCAACTTATTCGAGCATGGCCATGCATTTCTAGTCTCACTCAATCAAGTGACCTGTGATATATTTCCTATTATGTAGGAAGGACAAATCCTATCTTAATCATACACACTCACTACATATATCGAGATATATTCAAAACAATCTTTATAGTGCAACCAGTTATGGAGCATGTTTAATTGTGTCAAAACATAAAAAAATATATGTTGGGATAACATTGATCTCAAGTCTGAGGATCATACATATAGTCATCACCATGAGCAATGTTATGAGCGTTACATAATAATCCAAGACATATGCTCATGGTGGGTCAATCCAATACTTTTTTCTCTAACAATATAATCATGTATCAATTCTGACATCTCTATGTCAATGACAACTCGTTATCATCAATCAATAACATGTTAGTCTTAAGCGTATTATTATTGTCCATTCCCAAAATAATACTTGACTATGGATCTTTTAATAATAATAATGTTATTATATGGTCTTTATTATATTTCATTTTATTTTAAACATAGACATATAACTGAAAATAATAGTGGCAATGCCTTCATTCACTAAAATTGGTAGACAAATGTATTATTACAATCATCGTATGATTGGTCTTTGGGCATACTCTAACATCATACAGTTTCAATAACTCTAAAAAGTATTCCTTTATTTTTACTTTTTTGTTTGACATATTTATGCATCGCACTATTAGATTCATTTGTTCTTGATGGCTTATAGCAGGGGTACAATCAAGAATAATAGAGAAATAATTTACCTTCTGGATGATCTTTAGAATAGAAGTTCTAATACTATGGGCCAAAAGAGAGATTAGTTCAATTTGAATTTTATGATCAAGATAATGTTCATTTTGAATGTCTAATATGCTCTTGCATAGACAAATCAAATCCAACAATAATTTTAATTAATCCCAAAAAATTTCCATTACTCTCATCGTTTCTCACTAGATCCTCGAAAAGCTAAATTATTTTTAGCAAGACATTTTACAACACAAATTATTCGTATTAAAACTTGCCTTTAATGTTCTTTCTCTTTTGAAATTCCTTGTTGTAAACTTTTATCAAATGTTTGATTAGTTTTTAATCTCACTCTTAATTCACTCCAAACATTCATGTTAGTCATAAGCTCAATATTATTCTCATGTTGTTTGAGTCTCTAACTAAGATGCCTCCAATCATTTAATCCATCATTTGCTAAGCAACTGTTGTTGTTTTGCTTTGTAAACAATTTATAACAAAACATATTGTCCACATGTTTAGAATATACAAACCATTTTTTATCGTTAATCTCTCCATTACTTAACTATCTAAAAAAATAAGTGTATGAAAAATGCCTAGAATTATTGGCTAAGGGAAATTTCAAATTCAATTCTCTTACATGCCCTTTTTCAACTAAAATATCTCTAAATTTACTATCAAGATTACTCCGATTTCTAGGATCATAAATGTCCACATGAGGGACTAAGTGTTGATCAATCCAATATCTTCAACATTAGACTTATTTTGTGCATGATTATGGTCATTTAAATTAGAAATGTCATAATCTATATGATTTAGGATATGATCATCATCATTTGCATCAGTAGCACCCACATTGGTATAATTTGGAGAACTATCAAGGTTATTTAAATTCATAAAAATATCATTTAAATTTTCATTATAAGGTTCTCCTACACTACTTTAAAGAATTTGTCAACCGCTCTGTTGAACCATGTTTTATAATATTTTGATATAACAAATTAAGGTAAAATGTTTTTGGACTTGAATTGAATTTGTTCAAAATTTTCAAAAATAATTCAAAGTCCATTAAAATAGAATTTGAGCACAAATTTTTTCAGGGTACGTAGTACCGATACTGTTCTTACAGTACTGATACTATATAAACAGTAACGATAATGTTCATGTGGTACTGATACCAAAGGTAAGAGAAGTATCGATACACCCTAGGTAGTATCGATACTACCATGTGTTTTCCAAATTTCTCAAATTCCAGAAGACAAAATAAGTATCGATACTCAAAGGAGTACGATACTACTTTACACAGTAGTATCGATACCATGAGCATAGTATCGATATTGGTCAAACCCAATGGCTAATAACAGCTAGTTGATTTAAAAATTATAAAGGAAGTGTCGATACTTATTAAAGGAGTACCGATACTCCCTGTCCTTGGCAGTTTTATTTTGCAGAAAAATAATCCCCAACGGCTCCAAATCATCCCCAACGGCTAGAAACAACCACAAACACATTCCAACCTATAAAAGCAAGTTAGGACACTTGAAAAAGGGTTAGAACACCTATCCAAACAATTAAACACAAGAAAAGAGTTTTTCATTTTTATTTTTCTTTCTCTTGTAAATATTTTGTTCTTGTGAGCTTAATTTTGTAAACACCTACCTTTTGAGGTTTTCTTGTTTACATATTTTATCCTTTCGTAAACGGAGGAGTGGTTCTATCTTAGCCATTGAAAATATAGGGATTTGTAAAGGTTATCTCTTTATCCTATAAAAAGAAAGAAAAAATTAGTAAATTTGTTAGAAAATCCTTAGCGAAGAGCTAAGCTAGTGGATGTAGACTTAGCTGAGAAGTCGAACTACTATAAATCCTTGTGCATCATCTTTAAATCTCCTTAATCCCTAAATTTTTCTCAAATCCACTTCAACCCCTCTTGGCAAATTATTCGATTGTTCAATTGAACTTTATCGAAAATCCCAACACGCTCTCTTTTGTGGTTTTATTAACTCATTTTTTTCTTTTTTTACTACCATACAAATTTTTTTGGGAGACATTATATGACAATGCAACTAATGTAGAAAAGAACAATAGAACCTGTAAAACGAGAGGATCCTCGATTGAAATATTTATATACCAAATCTGCAGCACTGCAATGAATGAACTTAGAAGGAAGATGAAGAATCTGCATATCCACGTTTGACATTTCATATCCAAAAATTATTAAACAAAAAAAAATAGTTTTATCTAAAATTTAGAAATATATAAATATAAATAAAAAGAATTTGGAAACATGAACTTAGAATTTTAAGAACAATCTTTAATATGATTCAAGCACCAATTGATGATAACTAATTGTGACTTTGTGTTTGTAAGAAAGATGAGAAATTGAAAAGTGAGAGTAATAATTTTCAAATGAATTTTGAAATATGAAAGAAAAAAAGTAGGTTAATTTTACTTCAATTTTATCCTCTCGTTGAGTTTTAAAGAGAAAAAAAGTAACCGTTGATAAAATTTTGGGAATTTGAACTTTAGTTGGATTTTTTTTGAATTTTGAAAAGAAATAACATTTTTTTAACGTCAATATGAAATTCTAATAATGAAAATTTATGGACAATTAGAATTAGAATTTATGAGAATTCAACAAGACATTTATGAGCATTGTGTCCTAGGTAATACTTTTAGGGTCCGTTTGTTTCACTAAAAACAGTTTCTAAAAAATGAAATCTGAAAAATGAATTATATTTCTGAAAAATGTTTTCCAGAAAATATTTTCAGTGTTTGGATAGTACATTGTAAAATGTTTTACACTGTTTGGTTATTTTTTCTGAAAACAGTTTTCAGAATCTGTTTTTAATAAAGAAGCATACATATTCGATATTGTAAAGATACATATTATGTTTTTAATATTATGTAGTTTTCAAAATTTAGTTTTATTAAAGGTTCATTTTTTTATATAATTATATTTTATAAAAAATTGTATTTTTATAAGTACGTCAAACTAAATTTTTAGATAATATTAATAATTTATGTTGATTGTGTTATAAATACACTATTTTAGTTTAAAATCTTCATGATACTTATTAGTATTTTTAGAAATGAATTTCAACTTATAATTAATATTATGTAGGTTTATTTGATATAATATTAATAATTTATTAAACATATATTATAAAAGTTTATAAATATTATGTAGGTTTAATTAATAGTTCACCACATTAAAAACAACAGTACATAACATTGTAATAATAATATTAGTGTCAAAATGTATAATTAAAGGGTTTATCACATTAAAACAACAATAATTTCCAACTGTAATAATACAAAGTCTAATTCATAATTAGTGCTACAACACATCAAACCTTAATTAAGAAACTGGAATTTGGTCGAGTTCAAACAACAAAAAACAATGAGCAAAGCTAATTGAGTTCTTTGTGGAACATATTACTACAACCTGCAAAAACAAATAGTTAAGAGAGATTGAATGCCTACCAAGTTAATGAGCAAAGCAAGCGAAACACCTCATGAAAACATCAATAGAAATGGGCTTTGATGGAAATTGAGCAAGACAAACTAAAGATAGATTCAACAACGATAGCCAGGGTCTTAAACAAAACATGACAGATTTTAAAAATAAAAGAAGATTTTAGAAAACTATCCTTGCAGTCACAATTATTGCTCAAATGCAACCTCACTTCTTCTTGGCGGCAGAATTGGGGACCTTGGCATCGGTTGGGTCCTTCTCGACGCTCTTGATGACACCAACAGCAACGGTCTGGCGCATGTCCCTCACAGCGAACCGACCAAGAGGTGGGTATTCCGAGAAAGTCTCGACAACTATAGGGTTGGTCGGAACCATCTTCACAATCTGTGCATCACCGTTCTTCAAGAACTTGGGCTCCTTCTCAAGCTCCTTCCCAGATCGCCTGTCAATCTTGGTCAACAATTCAGCAAATTTGATGGCAATGTGGGAGGTGTGACAGTCGAGAACTGGGGCATATCCATTTCCAATCTGACTAGGGTGGTTCATGATAATGATTTGTGAGGTGAAGTTGGCTGCCTCCTTGGCAGGATAATTCTTTGGGGCATATCCTTTGAGTTGTTGCATCCATCTATACCAAAAATAATTGAAAACCAGTTAGACACCTTAAATCATCAAAATTATCGTAAAAGATCATCAATAGAATAATAATAATAATAATAATAATAAACACAAATAAGTTCTAAAGCTCACCTTGTTGCAGCAGCAAATCATCTGCTTGACACCAAGGGTGAACGCAAGCAAAGCATGCTCACGGGTCTGACCGTCCTTAGAGATACCAGCTTCGAAACCACCAGTGGTTGAGTCGATGATGAGAACAGCACAGTCAGCCTGGGAGGTACCAGTAATCATGTTCTGGATAAAGTCACGATGTCCAGGGGCATCGATCACAGTGCAGTAGTACTTGGTGGTCTCAAACTTTCACAGGGCAATATCAATGGTAATACCCTGGGGAATGATAACAACCCCTTAGTTAAAAATCCAACTGAAGCAGATTCTGAGAGTCGTAATACCAAAGAGAGTGATCCTCTTCTCTCAGGTTCAGCTCATAATGAATCGGGATTCTCTCATTTGAGTGCGATACATAATAACTATATTTCCGTAAGAATCAACTTTGTGGTTCTGTTTATCTAGTATAACCATGTTTGCTTCTATTTACAGGAACTAATGATGGCTCTCTCTTTGTAGGTTAGTTTTTACCATACTCTTACAAACTACCATGATAATGGAACTCTGTTTGTAACTCTCTACATACTGTTGTCGATGGTCTTTTTATATCATCGACATATATCAATGCCTTACACCTAAACAAATTTTGTTAAAATGCAGATCAACAGACTGAGTATCCACTCCTTAACCAGAAGCTTAGATTTGGAATAAATCCTGCAGGTTCAACAAATGCTATTGTGATATGGTATATTCTTCCATCCTTATGAATGTTCATTAGATTTTCTGCTATTTTCAGGCTCAACATAGTACTGTTAGGTCTGTCTGTAGCTTAGAATATGGATGCATGTAGCAGGTTTTTTGAGTGACTATATGGAATGCTTTTTACTCAAGACGCAGTTCACGTACCTAGCTTTGAAATGTTCGTCTGATGTGGATACTGCCCTAAGCTTTGAGATTTTAACACATAAACAACCTTTCAAGATTAAACACCACCCTCTTTAATAAATAGAAACAAAAACTTATATGTGCATCATTTATGCATCAAACTCACAACTAAAAGAGAAAGAATTCATATTTGGAATTCAGGCTAATAGAATTCCACCAGACAACTAAAAGATTCTACTTTCCACTATTTGCTTCTTCTTCTAAACCCCCCACCACCAAACTTATAAGAGCATGTCCTGAGCAAAAAAAAAAAATGACAGCCTGACCAATAATTCATTTTTGTAAGAAAACATATCAAAATAGTTAAACACTCATTCTAACACTTGATTTTACGACTAAAAGCAAGAAAATTCTTACCCAACCAAATGAAAAAGGCAGATTGTTTCTTGTTCCCAAAGGAACTGTAGCAATTGGAGGTGGATATGACAATTTAAAGGAATCAAAGGCAATAGCCATTTGCAAGGAAAAAAAGAAACAATAAAGAAGAATAACCGAAAAGAACGAAAAGGAGCATTCAATAAAGAAGAGCTTAAAAGAAGCATTCAATAATCGCCGGTGATTTTTACAGATCTATCTCAAAGAAGAAAAACCGAGAAGATGAAAAGAGAGATTTACCTGAGAAGATGACCGTCCGCCTGAGTCAATAATCACCGGTGAGAAGGAGGCCACTGGATCGCGAATGATTTTGGGTGTGGAGAGAGGGAAGGGAAAATGTGAAGGACCGTGTGAAATCTGGAAAATGACTTCCCGTTTTTCAAAGGGTAAGTTGTTTTACGGAAAATACTTCTATTTTTACGTTGATCGTAAAATGAAATCCATTGACTTCCCTCTTTTACTTGAACCAAACGTAGGAAAACGGGAAAAACATTTTCCGTAAGATATTTTCCCCCAAACAAACGGACCTTTAATCTCATCCTTAATGACAGTTTAGCAAGACATTTATGGTGAATTAACGTGGGAATTAAAATTTATGGTGAATCAATTAACAATTTATTAGAGTATGGTGAATTAACGGGAAGTAGAATATATGGCCTGCCCTATATGTTTAGTTGCGTGAATCCCTCTTAATTTGTTGGTAGGAATAAGTTCTTGTTTTTCTTTAATTGGCAAACATTCTCCTTGTGAGGATTTTTCAAAGTTTCTATTTTTAATTTCTTTTTGAGAAGGGATGTACACTTAAGATTTTGGGTATAAGTTTTAAGTGAATTGTAAGGTTACCCCTTATCCTAAAAGGTTATAACAAATTAGTGAACTTGTTGAAATCCCTAGAGTAGAAGCTAAGACAGTGGATGCAGACTTCATTAATAAAATTGAACTACTCTACAATTCATGTGTCAATTTTCTATCTCTTACAAAAGCTTCCATCAAATTTTTAATTATCAATTCACCCCTATTGGTTATTTGATTCGATCGATTGACTCAACAAGTGATATCAGAGCTTAACTAATCAGAAGACTTTATATCCTATTGAGAATATCCTTTGAAGAGTTCACTCTTATTATGATATATGGGCAATCTATCCACTTCTAGAATTTTTGATGAGTCTCAATCTATCTCCAAACCTCATTATTTCAATGGTGTCAACTACTCCTATTGGAAAAATAAGATGATGATGTTTGTTCAAGCTACCGATTATTTGATTTGGAATGTCATCATCAATGGGTCATCCATTCCTTCAAAGAGACAAGGAGTAGGGATGGCAATGGGTCGGGTCGGGTCGGGTTTTTGGGCCACCCGACCCGACCCGAGAAGAAAGGGTTCTCCACCCGTGACCCGACCCGACCCGACAAAATTAATGTTTCACCTGACCCGACCCGACCCGAATATATGACTTAGAAACCCGACCCGACCCGACCCGACCCGAAATAAAAAAAAAATTTAATTCAATGAAAACAGTGACTTAATTGAAAAAAATTATATATGGAGGGATATTATTGTAATTATCCCTAAATATATAAGATAAAATTATATATATTTTTTGGGTCGGGTCGGGTCGGATTTTTTTACCCTAAACCCGACCCAACCCGACCCGAACAGTGCATTTAAAAAAAACCCGACCCGAACCCAAATTTTTTTTAAAAAAATCTGACTCGATTGGGTCGGGTCGGGTCGAAACCCGTCGGATTCGAGTTGAGTTGCCATCCCTAACAAGGAGAGCTTCTTGTACTAAAGAGCAAGTTGGAATGAATAGATGAAGATCGAAGACTTGCTAAACTCAATGCAAAGGCTATGAACATTCTCTTTTGTGCACTTGACCCTGATGAATATAGTGGAGTGTCTTCTTGTTCAAATGCAAAGGAAATTTCAGACAAGTTAGAAGTCAATCACGAAGGTAAAATCCAAGTGAAGAAATCAAAGTTTGGCATTCTCGTACTAAATTATGAGAATTTCAAAATGAAACCCGAATAAGATATCAAAGTGATGTTCGATCGATTCACTACCATTATCAATGAGCTAACAAATTTTGGGAAATTCTACTCAAATGAAGAAATTGTGAGAAAGTTTCTCTATAGCTTGTCGATGTCTTGGGAGCCTAGAAGAACGAATATTGAAGAAGCTAAAGACTTAGAAGTTCTTACACATGATGAGCTCATTAGGTCACTTCTCACCCATGAGATGAGACTCAAGGATGAAGAAGAAAAGAAAGTGGAGAATAAGAAGTTGGAATTGCTCTTAAGTATACCAGAGAAGAGAGTGGTTAAAGTGAGGAAGAAAATGAAGAAATAACAATATTTGCCAAAAGATTTAGAATATTCATGAAGTATAATAATGGAAAAGAATTCAAAATTTTGATTTTATCGAAAATCACAAAAATTGCCCGATTATCGACCCGATACAACTAACCTGATTTTGGGACATTACATGATGATTATGTTATCTAGATATGGATATATGGTATTTCGACTTATATTTTATTTGGATATTTATGCGAGACGCCTTTACATATTGTATGTTATGATCATAATTACGTTTATGGATATTACTGACATTGGCTAATCTCTTTTTACTCTTAATCTTACCGGTTTATATATATATTGCTTATATTTTTTTTAATTAACAAAAAGGAGAGAAATATTAGAGTAAGGGGAGTCTTTTCAAAAGACTTTAAGATTGATGAAAATTTTTATATCAAAAAATGAGATTCTAGAGCATGTTTTGATAATTTTGACATATTAAAAATGTTAAATAATTTTTAAGATTATATTAGATTTGAATATTCAAATATGTAAATTTGTTTAAAGTCCCAAAACTCTATCTTTATCTTAAAATACTTGAAGGATTTTGTCAAACATTGAAAGTAATTTTTATTTTTTAATTATTTCAAACTTTAAACAAGTTAAAATGATTTTTCAACGTTAAAGTACTGATACTGTTCATGTAGAAGAAATATCATGCTTTGAAAATTATTAAGTAGTACTGATTCTACTCATTGTAGTACTGATACTACCATATGGTTTTGAAATCTCAAAAATTCCAACGTGCAAAAATGGTATCAATACTCCTCGGAGTACATATACTACTTTTAACAGTAGTAATAAAACCACTCTTAATAGTAGTACTGATACTACTAAAAGAAGTACTGATACTCAAGATTTACAACAACTATATTTTTGTAATTAATGCATGTAAGTATTGATACTTAGCCCTATAGTACCAATACTCTAGGTATCTGAGTAGCATTTACTGTAGGAAATTTCATCCTCAAGGGCTCTATTAACTCCCACAACTAGCCAGATGACTAAATTGAATGGAGTATAAAAGTAAGATTTGAAGCCTTATATGAAGACAATAGATTATAAAGAAAGATATTACATTCAATTTGTGTCAAATCAAGTCAACTTGTATTCATATTTGATTGCTTTGAAAAAAAATACTTATGTACCCTTTTGTATTTATTTTATCCAAGTGTTCTTGTTGTTCTTGAATTGTACAAAAAAGTTTCTTTGTGAGGGTTTTTCAAAGTTTTCTATTTGTAATTTATTCTTTGGAAGGGTTCCACAGTTAAGATTTTTGGGTATAATTCTTAAGTGGGTTGTAAGGTTATACTTTGTCCTAAAAGATTATAAAAAATTAATGAATTTGTTGAAATCTTTAGTGTGGAAGCTAATGTAGTGAATGAAGACTTCATTAAGGAAGTAAAAATATTCTAAAATTCTTGAGTCAATTCTTCTCTCTAAATTTTTAATTGCTAATTCACCCCCTTTTGGCTATTTCATTCAATTGATTTACTCAACACACTAAACGTGTCTACATGATATATATATGATTTATATAAAAACAATACTTGCTTTTTCACATAATTTCCAGTTGTGATTTTGGTGCATCTAAAATAGGTTTTAAATGACTTAAAAATGAATCCATTGACTATTGAATTCTCTTGGAACACTTTAGATATAATGTCATACCGTAAGATTTCGAGTATATACTTTACTGGTACCTGTATTGGATACATATTAGGTGATATAAGACGAACGTTTTGCTTTTTGCATACGTTTTATGGGTCTTTTAACCATTTCATACTCTTTGAGTCATATCGCTGGCCATACAATTGTTGTATACAAGATGTTTTGATCTCTATAAGATCTACTGAGGCGTTATAAGGAGATTTATTTATCCATAGGTGATTAGTTTCATATAATTCAATGGAAGTCAATAAATCAAAATGATGATGAATTACAAGCTATGATGCTAATGCATATTGTGCCATATTTTCCAAGCATAAGTTACATGATTTACAGGTCTGATTTGTAAACCTAAAGTACTTATTTTATAGCCTTGAAAAGCATGTTTTGATCTTAAGTAATTTACATGATAAGTAAAGTTACAAGCGATTTCAAAATAATTTGCACAAGCATAAATGTTAAAGGTTCCTAAGTAACCTATGTGATAATGTTGGCTTTATAGTAGTGTTGTGCATTCATTGAGTTCAGTTCCCATTGTTTATTATGTTTACATGTCGTAAAAGTCATTAGGAGTGAAACGAAGCAAGTGTAGCAATTCCCGATAAAGTTGATTTGGTAAATAAAATTCACTGGTGACTATGTTACTTGGCAAAATGTAGGATGCTATTATGTTAGGATTTAGACAATTAGTTACGAATTTCTATGTTGTTTTGGAATTTGGACATTAATTACTCTTTGAATTTTAGTTTTATTTTATGATGGTTTTATGTGGTTGATTGATAAGCATGAAGTTAAGTGTGTATAATGAATGAGATAGAAATCGATGATATGATAAGATGAATGAACGCCGCACTTGGAGAGTCATAAGATTGATAGATATTTAATGCCCCAAGGTGATACCTTCATAAGTCTTAGATAAAACAAGTGAGACAAACCTCAAACTTATATTTTGTATTTCTAAAGGGTTCTGTGATATATTTACAAATGAATGATGGCGACCTATATAGAAGGTTACAAAGTAGGTGAATTGATGATATTAAAATAAAAGAAATAATTAATCTAAATACATAAATAAATTAGATTCATTTGGGTGAACTCCCAAAGATAGCCGATCATGAACCTTGCAAAGATGAATTAATGAACTTTTAGTTTTTAATTGCTTGGTTCATGTCCTCAATTCATGTATTTGATGGATGAATGGATTCTTCACAGTTTCATGAATCTTCAATGACGTTTCCGTGCATTCCATGCATGAATTAGAAGGATGAATGAATGGTAAGATGAATGAACTCTTGAATCTATTCAATGTTGAACATACATGAATCAAATGTCCCTTGAATGATAAAAAAAAAA